TGGGTTCAGGTTTAGGGTTGGGTTTAGGGTTAGGGTTGGGGTTTCGGGTTTAGGGTTAGGGTTAAGGTTTAGGTTAGGGTTTAGGGTTTAGGGTTAGGGGTCGGGTTTAGGGTTAAGGGTTAGGGTTAGGGTTAGGGTTTAGGGTTTAGGGTTTAGGGTTAGGGTTAGGGTTAGGGTTAGGGTTAGGGTCCAGGGTCAGGGTTCGGGTTAGGGTTTAGGGTTTACGGTTAGGGTTCGGGTTAGGGTTCGGCTGAGGGTTCGGGTTTAGGGTTAGGATTAGGGGTAGGGTTTAGGCTTTAGGGTTTAGGGTTTAGGGTTGGGGTTGAGGGCTTCGGGCTAGGTTTATTAGGGTTAGGGTTTACGGGTTCGGGTTAGGATTAGGGTTAGGGTTTCGGGTTTAGGGTTAGGGTTCGGGTTAGGGTTACGGTTTAGGGTTAGGGTTAGGTTTAGGGTTCAGGGTTCAGGGTTCAGGGTTTCGGGTTAGGGTTTGGGGTTTTGGGTTAGGTTAGGGTCAGGGTTTAGGGTTTAGGGTTAGGGTTACGGTTAGGGTCAGGGTTTGGGTTTAGGGTTTAGGGTTAGGGTTAGGGTTAGGGTTAGGGTTAGGGTTAGGGTTAGGGTTTAGGGTTTGGATTTGGGTTCGGGTTTCGGGTTTCGGGTTTAGGGTTAGGGTTCGGGTTTAGGGTTAGGGTTAGGTTTAGGTTTAGGGTTAGGGTTTAGGGTTTAGGGTTAGGGTTAAGGTTTAGGTTAGGGTTTAGGGTTTACGGTTAGGGGTAGGGTTAGGGTTTAGGGTTTAGGGTTAGGGTTGGGGTTAGGGTTAGGGTTTAGGGTTTAGGGTTAGGGTTAGGGTTAGGGTTAGGGTTAGGGTTCAGGGTCAGGGTCAGGGTTCGGGTTCGGGTTTAGGGTTTACGGTTAGGGTTCGGGTTAGGGTTAGGGTTTAGGGTTAGGATTAGGGGTAGGGTTTAGGCTTTAGGGTTTAGGGTTGGGGTTAGGGTTGAGGGTTTCGGGTTAGGTTTATTAGGGTTAGGGTTTAGGGTTAGGGTTAGGGTTTAGGGTTAAGGGTTCGGGTTAGGGTTAGGGATAGGGTTTAGGGTTTAGGGTAAGGGTTCGGGTTTAGGGTTTAGGTTTAGGGTTAGGGTTAGGGTTAGGGTTTAGGGTTAGGGTTAGGGTTTGGGTTACGGTTTAGGGTTCAGGGTTAGGGTTCGGGTTTGGGTTCAGGTTTAGGGTTAGGTTTAGGGTTCGGGTTAGGGTTTAGGGTTTAGGTCTGGGGTTATGGTTTAGCTTAGGGTTTAGGGTTTAGGGTTAGGGTTCAGGGTTTAGGGTTTAGGGTTTCGGGTTAGGGTTAGGGTTTAGGGCATAGGGCATAGGGTTAGGGTTAGGGTTTAGGGTCAGGGTTAGGGTTCGGGTAAGGGTTTAGGGTTCAGGGGAAGGGTTAGGGTTAGGGTTAGGTTAGGGTTAGGGTTAGGGTTTAGGGTTCGGGTTAGGGGTTGGGTTTAGGGTTTAGGGTTTCGGGTTGGGGTTAGGGTTAAGGGTTTAGGTTTAGGGTTAGGGTTAGGGTTTAGGGTTAGGGTTACGGTTAGGGTTAGGGTTTAGGATTAGGGTTAGGGTTCGGGTTAGGGTTACGGTTTCGGGTTAGGGTTGGGGTTAGGGTTCAGGGTTCAGGGTTCAGGGTTCAGGGTTCACGGTTTCGGGTTCGGGGTTTTGGGTTAGGTTAGGGTCAGGGTTTAGGGTTTAGGGTTAGGTTAGGGTCAGGGTTAGGGTTAGGGTTTAGGGTTTAGGGTTAGGTTTAGGGTTAGGGTTAGGGTTTAGGGTTTAGGGCTAGGGTTATGGTTTAGGTTAAGGTTTAGGGTTTAGGGTTAGGGTTAGGGTTTAGGTATTCGGGTTAGGGTTAGGGTTAGGGTTTAGGGCTTAGGTCTAGGGTTAGGGTTAGGGTTTAGGGTCAGGGTGAGGCTTCGGGTTAGGGTTTAGGGTTTAGGGTTAGGGAGGAGGAGGAGGAGGAGGAGGAGGAGGAGGACGATCACTTTCACCTCATCCATGCTCTCGTCTGCAGGCTGCTCGGTTCTCAAGGATGTCAGTCGCAAAGCTGCTCTCTTTTTTCGTTCTCGTCCCCACGATGGCCGGGGCAGCCCCTGCTCATCAGCCCGCTCCACCGCTCCCCCCGGCGATGGCCGCCGAGGCCCCTCCGGCTGCGGGCGCCCCGGCGGCGGGCGTTGCACCGCCGCCCCAGCCGGCGCCTGGCGTCGAGGTGTTCCGCTCCAAGCGTGGAGGCGTCAAGGCCCTCTGCGAGGGGTATTCCTACCGTCTCGCCCGCTACCACAAGGACGGCGCGGCAGTCTTCAGGTGCGACCGGGAGGAGTCGGCGGCGCGCCGACGGGGGCACGGGGAGGGGGGAAGGCCTCTTGCAAGGGAGGGTGCTTTTTCGAATCCCTCCGGTGGCTTCACCTCGCCGCGCTGACGGCTTTTCAGCTTCTGCCGCGCGAAGGGCTCCTTAGAAGCACCCCCCCTTCTAAGCAGCTCCCCCCCCCCCTCCCCCCGCCCCTCACGGCGCGCCGCCACAGGGCGCCGCTGGGTGCAAGGCCAGGGCGGAGGCCACGATGGTGGGCGACACGATTACGGCTTTCACGATGAAGAAGGAGCATGAAGGCCACCTGGCCGAGCCTGAGAGGGCCCTCCGCGAGCAGATCCGCAGCCGGGTCCGCGAGCAGGCGAAAAGCCAGCCCGCCGCTGCGCTCGTGCGCGTCGTCTCCGAAAGCCTCGAGGCCATCCCGAAGGACGACTACCCCATCTCTCCGGACCAGCACTGCCTCAAGAAGGTCGGTTGGCTCGCCCGCCGGACTGATGTCAAGAACTCTAGGCGGAAGACAGCCGGTTCCCCGGCGCCCTCAAACGGCCAACCTTCTGCGAACACGACGACGACGACGACGACGACGACGACGGCGGCGCCGGCGGCGCCGGCGGCGACGACGACGACGACGACGACGCCGCGCGACGACGACGGGCGACGACGACGACGACGACGACGACGGCCCACTGGAACGACGACGACGACGACGACGAGGACGACGATGACGACGACGACGAGAAAGACGACGACGACGACGACGACGACGAGGACGACGAGGACGACGACGACGACGAGAACGACGACGACGACGACGACGACCACGACGACGACGACGACGACGACGACGACGACGACGACGAGGACGACGAGGGCGACGACGACGACGACGACGACGAGGACGACGGCGAGGGGACGACCGGAGTGTTCCGCCCCCCCAGGTGCTCTGGACGTCGCCTGCTACAAGACCCTCGGCTCTATGGTCATCGACCCGGCGTTCCTCCTCTGCGGGGATGACAATTTCCTGGTGCACGATTCCGGCTCGGCTGACGGGGGCGAGAGGTTCATGATCTTCGGGACGGCGAAGAACGTCGAGGAGCTCAAGGCTGCTTCTGCGCGGGTGTGCGACGGGACATTTAAGCAGAGCCCCAGGTTGTTCACGCAGCTTTACACCATCTTGGCCTACAAGAAAGGCTTCGCCCTGCCGCTTCTCTTTGCGCTCCTGCCGGACAAGCGCAAGCAAACCTACCAGCGACTCTGGCGCGCCGTCGCCGGCATCACGGACATCCACGCCAAGGCGCCGGGGCCTCCGAGATGCGGTCCCCGCGGATCTGGTTCGCAGGGGCCCCATGCCGCACCCGCCCTCTCCAGGGCTCTTCTGCCGGCCTTCTGGGGTGCCCCTGCGCGCCCACGCCCCTCTGGGCCGCATCTCCGGGGCCTCCGAGGAGGACGCGCCAACGGTCCTACTGGATTTCGAGCACGGCTCCGTCTCCGCTCTAGGAGAGCACTTCGGAGACCACAACCTCGGCGGACGCTTGTTCCACTATTGCCAGTGCATCCACCGCAAAGTTCACGACCTCGGCTTCTCGCCGCGGTACGCCACGGACGCCTCTTTCCGCGTGCGCGTCAAGTGCCTCTGCGCGATGCCGCACGTGCCCGTGGCATCCGTCGCGCCCGTGTTCGAGGAGCTGTTCCTGCTCTTCCAGCCCGACGAGGAGAAGCTCATGAAGTACTACGTCCACACTTGGACATCCTACCTCTCATCTTCGTCCCGCAAGCATTCCTTGTCGTCATCGTCGTCGTTGTCGTCGTCGTCGTGGTCGTCGTCGTCGTCGTCGTCCTCGCCGTCGTCGTCGTCGTCGTGGTCGTCGTCGTCGTCGTCCTCGTCGTCCCCGTCGTCGTCGTCGTGCTCGTCCTCGTCGTCCTCCTCCTCGTCGTCGTCCTCTTCGTCGTCGTCCTCGTCCTCGTCCTCGCCCTCGTCGTCCTCGTCGTCCTCGTCGTCATCGTCGTGGTCGTCGTCGTGGTCGTGGTCGTCGTCTTTCTCGTCGTCCTCGTCGTCCTCGTCGTCCTCGTCGTCGTCGTCGTCGTCCTCGTCGTCGTCTTTCTCCTCGTCCTCGTCGTCCTTGTCGTCCTCGTCGTCCTCGTCGTCGTCGTCGTCCTCGTCCTCGTCGTCCTCCTCCTCGTCGTCCGTCGCCCTCTCCGTCGTCGTCCTCGTCCTCGTCCTCGCCCTCGTCGCCCTCGTCGTCCTCGTCGTCATCGTCGCGGTCGTCGTCGTGGTCGCGGTCGTCGTCTTTCTCGTCGTCCTCGTCGTCCTCGTCGTCGTCGTCGTCGTCGTCCTCGTCGTCCTCGTCGTCGTCGTCGTCGTCTTTCTCCTCGTCCTTGTCGTCTTTGTCGTCCTCGTCGTCCTCGTCGTCGTCGTCGTCCTCGTCGTCGTCGTCGTCGTCCTCGTCCCCGTCCTCGTCCTCGTCCTCGTCGTCTTTGTCCTCGTCGTCCTCGTCGTCCTCGTCGTCTTGTCGTCGTCGTCGTCGTCGTCCTCGTCGTCCTCGTCGTCGTTGTCCCCCTTGTCGTCGTCGTCCTCCTCCTCCTCTGCCATCTTATACAGGATTGGCGAGCCCATCAAGCTTCGCATCACCGACAAGGGCGCCCGCGATCTCCGCAAGAGGCCTCTCTTCGCGCGCGACTTGTGGAACGTCAACGACCGCGTCTGGGGGCCCCGCCATACCACCAGCAACGCCGCCGAGCGCTGGCACTCGAAGTACAACAAGTGCTTGCCGCATGGCTCTGCGCACCCTTCCATGGAGGCTTTCCTGGGCGGGCTCCACGCGGCCCAGCGCCTCACTGACTTGGACCTCGCCAAGATTGCCGTGGGCAGCCAGCAGCGCGAGACGCAGAACATGAAGGCCAAGCGGGAGCGCATCATGACCCTGCTCGAGGACTTCGACGAGGACAAGGAGGGGCTCAAGCTCCTCAAGGCCATCGCGTACCTCGCCGACTGATGGCCGACCGCCGCCCCGCGCCCGCGCTCCAGGCAGGCGTCCTCGCCGCTTTCGCTTTGGAGGACAAGGAGGAGGAGGAGGAGGAGGAGGAGGAAGAGGACGAGGAGGACGACGAGGAGGAGGAGGAGGAGGAGGACGGGCACGAGGACGAGGAGGGGGAGGAGAAGGAGTAAGGGGGGGGAGAAGGAGGAGGAGGACGAGGAGCACGGGGCAATGGCGCTGTCGAGCCTACTCTTCTCCTACTTGCATGCCGACGCGCTCTCTAGGCGGCGCTCGCAGACGTGCGTGGTCGTTCACGGCCCTGGCGATGCTCTTCCACTCGTGTCCGCGCCTCTGCTTGTACACCATCGCTCTCTTCCCTGCGGGTCACCGCGTCGGTGCCGACCGAAAGGAAAACTCGGGCTCTCCAGTCCCTTTCCTCCTCCTCCTGCTGCTGCTACTACTACTACTACTACTACTACTACTACTGCTACTACTACTACTACTACTACTACTACTACTACGACTACGACTACGACTACGACTACGACTACTACTACTACTACTACTACTACTACTACTACTACTACTACTACTACCAATCCGACAAGCCCTCTTCCGACGGCCCTGTTCCGACCGGCCCTGTTCCGGCCCCTCGCTGTTCCGACCGGCCCTGTTCCGGCCGGCCCTGTTCCGACCCAGCCCTGTTGCTGCCAGCCCTGTTCCGACCAGGCCCTGTTCCGACCAGGCCCTGTTCCGCCGGCCCTGTTCCGGCCGGCCCTCTGCCGCCGCGCGAAAGCCTCACGCGCCGGGACTGCGCGCCCCCTCGGGCGGCGGAACCGGGCCGGGTCAGAACCGGGCGGATCGGAACCGGGCGGATCGGAACCGGGCCAGGTCGGAACCGGGCCTGGTCGGAACCGGGCCTGGTCGGAACCGGGCGGATCGGAACCGGGCCGGGTCGGAACCGGGCGGGTCGGAACCGGGCCCGGTCGGAACAGGGTCTGTATCCTGGACCTGGACAGGGGATTTCGCTGGCACTTGGAGCGTTCAAGATGGCCCAAGACTGGCCCAAGAGCGCCTCGGAAGGGCCCAAGATGAGTTCCAAGATGGCTCAAGATAGCTTAAAAAGCCTCAAGATGGCTCCCAAGACGCTCCAAGAGGTCCTCAACCCGCTCAAAGACAGCTCCAAGAGGCTTCCGAGACCGTCAAGGACGCTTCCAAGAAGCCCAAATCCTTCAAACACCTGAGGAACATGAATGATGTTTGCATCGTCGCCCGTTCGGTCTCGATAGCTTTCCGAGGCCTCAAGCTGGCTCCAAGATGGCCCATGAAGGCCCCAAGAGAGGCCCAGGAGAGCCCCAAGGCTGCCCCAAGAGCGACCAGGCGCGCTCCAAGAACGCCCCAGGAGCGCCCCAAATGTGCGGGGCTCCCGAGGGGCAGCCCTAATTTGCGAACCCATCTTGTTGTATCGGTGTCCTCGAACAGCGTCCCCAAGGCTCCCAAGAGCGCCCCAAGAGGCGCCCAGACGGCCCCAAGAGGCGCCCAAGAGGCACCCGAAACAGCTCCCTAGAGGCACCCGAGAGGCTTCACGAGGATTTCCGAGGTGCCCAAGATGCACCTAGACGTTCCAAGAGGGCTAAAAAAAAGCCTGGCGAAGGACATAACCACAGATATCGTATTCGGTGGGGCTCCCTATGGGGCCACGAAGCATTGCACTGGGCGGGGGAGACGCATGCGAAGTTTGCCATTGGGGCATTCGGTTGAGCCCCCCGTGGGCCACGAAACGTTGTGGTGGGTGGGGGGGACGCATGCGGACTTTGCCCGTGGGACATTCGTTGGAGCTCCTTATGTGCCACGAGACGTTGTATTGGGTGGGGGGGGGGGCGCATGCGGACTTTGCCGCTGGGGCCTTCGGCGGAGCCCTCTATGGGGCCACGAAACGTTGTGCTGTGTGCGGGGAACGCATGTGTACTTTACCACTGGGGCATTCGATGGGGCTCTCATGGGGCCACGAATCGGTGGAGCTCCCTATGGAGCCGCGAAACGCTGTACTGGGTGGTGTGTGACGCGTGCGGGCGGTCCCACTGGGACCTTCGGTGGGGCTCCCTGTGGGGCCACGTTCGACGCGCTGTACTTGGTGTGCGGGACGCCTGAGGGCGGTCCCATTGGGACTTTCGGTGGGGCTCCCTGTGGGGCCACGAAACGCTGTACTGGGAGGGGGCGACGCACGCAGGCCGTGCTACTGGGACCTTCGGTGGGGCTCCCTGTGGGCCACGAAGCGTTGCACTGGGTGTGCGAACGCAAGCGGGCGGTGATAGTTGGACCTTCGGTTGATCCCCTTGTGGGGCCACGAAACGCTGTGCTGGGCGTGCGGGGCGCATGCGGGCGGTCCCACTGGGGCCGTCGGTTGATCTCCCTGTGGTGCCACGAAGCGTTGTAATGGGTGATGCGTGGCGCATGCGGGCGGCCCCACTGGGTCCGTCGGTGGGTTCCCCTATTTGGGGACACGGAACGCTGTGCTGGGTGGCGCTTGGCGCGTGCGGGCGGTGCCCCGAAGGCCGTCTGTAGAGCTCCCCATGGGCCACGAGACCTTGTACTGGGTGGTGCGTGGCGCATGCGGGTGGTCACATTGGGACCTTCGGTGGGGCTCTCTATAGGGTCACGAATCGTTGCGCTGGTTGGTGCGTGACGCATGCGGGCGGTGGCGCTGGCGCCGTCGGTGGATCTCCGCATGGGGCCACGAAGCGTTGTACTGGGTGGTGCGTAGCGCATGCGGGCGCTCCCACTGGGGCCGTCGGTGGAGCTCCGCATGAGGCCACGAAGCGCTGTACTGTGTGGTCCGTTACGCATGCGGGCGGTCCCATTGGGGCCTTCGGTGTAGCTCTCTATATAGAGCCACGAAACGCTGTACTGGGTGGTGCGTGACGCATGCGGGCGGTGCCACTGGGGCTTTCGGTCGAGCTCCCTATGGAGCTACGAATGGCTGTATTGGGCGTGCGTGGCGCATGCGGGCGGTCTCATTGGGACCTTCGGTGGAACTCCCTATGGGGCCACGAAACGCTTTACGGGGTGGTGCGTGACGCATGCAGGCGGTGCTGCTGGGACCTTCGGTGGATCTCCTTATGGGGCCACGAAACGCTGTGCTGGGTGGTGCGCGACGCATGCGGACGGTCCCACTGGGGCCGTCGGTTGATCTCCCTGTGGGGCCGCGAAGCGCTGTACTGGGTGGTGCGTGACGCATGCGGGCGGTCTCACTGGGACCATCGGAGGAGCTCCCTATGGGGCCCCGAAACATATGAAGGGCGTGCTGAACGGGTGATGTTGCTAATGATGGTGATTGAGGGGGGAGGGGGGGGATGAAGGAAGGAAGAGACGCGGGGGCCGTCCGTTCAAAACGAGGGCCCAACACCACAGAATGGTTGGGAACAAGAGACATCCGAGGAGGCTCTTCTGATCGTAATGTTTTTTCCCTACCTAGGCTCTGCCTAGAAGGGTTCTTACTCTCTTAGCTTAAAGGGGCCGGGCAGTGGAAAGCGCCCCGGGCGGTTCCCCCAGTCCCCTGGGAGCGGTTCCCCCCAGTCCCCTGGGAGCTTTAGCTTTAGCTTTAGCTTTAGCTTTAGCTTAGCTGTAGCTTAGCTTTAGCGTTTCGCTTAGCGTTTCGCTTAGCTTTTCGTTTAGAGCTTAGCTTAGATTTAGCTTAGCTTTAGCTCAGCTTGAGCTTAGCTTGAGCTTAGCTGCAGCTTAGCTTTAGCTTAGCTTTAGCTTAGCGTTAGCTTAGCTGTAGCTTAGCTGTAGCTTAGCTTCAGCTTAGTTTTAGCTTAGCTTTAGCTTAGCTGTAGCTTAGCTGTTGCTCCACTTTAGCTTTAGTTTAGCTTTAGCTTAGCTTCAGCTTAGCTTTAGCTTAGCTGTGGATTAGCTTGAGCTTAGCTTTAGTTTAGCTTTAGCTTAGCTTTAGCTTAGCTGTGGCTTAGCTTTAGCTTAGCTTTAGCTTAGCTTTAGCTTAGCTTTAGCTTAGCAGTAGCTTAGCGTTAGCTTAGCGTTACTGTTACTACAAATGCTGCTTTCCTAGGGGTTCCAACTCCTAGGTAGGGTCGCACTTGGATAATTTCCTCCTCCTCCTCCTCCTCCTCCTCCTCCTCTCTCTTTACTCTCCCCCGCCTCCTCCTCCCCCCCCTCCTCCTCCTCCTCCTCCTCCTCATCATCATCATCATCATCATCATCATCGTCATCATCATCATCATCCCCCCTTGCACTTCCAAGGAACCAGAGGAGACTCCGAGAGTCACTCAAAAGGCTTATGGCTATTCTGTTCGCCCTCTTTCTTCCTCCTCCTCCTTCGTCGTCGTCATCGGCGTCGTCTTCGTGGTCGTCGTCTTCGTCGTCGTCGGGTGCGTCGTCATTGTCGTGGTCATCGCCGTCGTCGTCGTCGTCGTCGTCGTCGTCGTCGTCATCGCTTTCTTCCTCTCTCGCCCCACCGCCTTCTCTTTCTCCTCCTCCGCCCCATCCTCCTCCCACTCCTCCCACAAGGAAGAAGTAAAAGGAAGCAAGTAGGAATTAAGAGCAACGAGAGGAGATAGGCGAGGGCATGAGGAGGTAAGCGCGAAAGCCACGACATTCGGTAGGGCTCAGTAAAAGTAGCTGTTTCGGGATGGGCTGGTGGGGACACGCGAAGCGTCGAGAATTTAAAACTGAGCTGCCGTGCGCTCACTCGTCCGCTGCCGCAGCCACAGGCGCCGCAGGCTCGTCCGGCGCCGCAGCCGCCTCCACAGCCTTGTCGTCGGCGGCGGTGTCGTCGAAGTCCTCCAAGGTCTGAAGCTGCGTGTCGTCGAAGCCTGGTCGAAAGCCTGGGATCTCGGGATCCTCGGCTGAGAGCTCGTCCTTCTTATCATTCTCATTGACGCTCTCTGGGCCCTCGTCCTTCTCAATTTCCTTGTCGTTCCCGGGGGCATCGTCGTCATCGCTCTCCTTCTTGTTCTCCTTCTCGCCCTCGGCCTTGCCACCTTTTGCCTTCTTGCCCTCGC